AAGACTTGCATCATCAAAGAATGGACTGGTTTGCATGGTGTCATTCGCCTATCAAACGGTTGCATGCAAGCGGTTTCCTCACCTGACCCAGTCGTTTCCTCACCTGTTGAGAGCTCTCTCAGTTCCAGGTTCTGAGCGTTTGATGTAAACCTATGACATATGAGCTCTTGATAATCTTGTAGTCTTTCACCGTTTCGCCTTTGCCACTACCTTTCTATGTCACATCACATCTATTGGGGCCTACTGCATACGACCCAAATGCGGAAGACACACCTTCCCCCCGTCCCTCCCGAAACGACCCGCGCGTCCACGCGTTCGGGTACGTACTGGGTACTCACTCCCTTCGACCCTCGACAGCGCGGCTCAAGAAGAGCAGACAACCACAACAAGGGGAAGCCAGGCAGCATCGGCTGCAAAGACGCTACTCCTTCGTAGCAAGGATCCCGCATTGTTCGCGATGAAACGGAGCGATTTTGGACGGGACGCTACTATATAAAAAAGGATGCTTGCCTTACTACTAGTAGCAAGGACGCCAGTAGTAGATAACAAAGCTCACCCAGATTGAGCCCAACCAGACTTTCACTCCCCTCCAAAGAACGAGGAACGAAGCTGACCCCCACAAGCCGGGTCCCCAGAGGTCAGCGAAGGGTCCCCATGTCATCGCCCGAAACAGGTCGCCATCCGAAGCCGTCCTTGCCATGGAAGGGGATGAGACCATTCCAGATCAACTGGCGGCCTGTGAGGGCATTGAGTCCCTTGGCACTGGATGGCGATGAGCCGTCCGGGGGCTCGACTCGGACACGTCTCCGAATTCGCCACGTCCGTGGTCATGGCGAAGATGGAGCGAAATCGCCAAGTTGGTTTAAATCCATGTTGCTTTCTGTGGTTTATGCTTGGAACACTTGGCCAAAGCTACCAACACAGGCATTGCGGCATAGTTGTCGTTGAACACGATGCTTCCGGCTTCGGCCGGCTTCGGCCGGTCCAGTGAGGCCCCAAAACACACCTTCTCCGACATCCCACGACTGAATTGCGGCATCGGGGAACGCATGGCATGTGGTGGTACCTCCGGACTTCTGTTCGTGGGAACTGGAAACCAGCTCGGCTTTCCTTTTTCCTTCCAGCTTTCTTCCCATTTCAGTTTCATTGTGCCAGGCCTCTTTTTGGACTCCTTTCCACCATGCCAGTGCTGGTGACCCTGGATCCTCTTCAAAGAATCCTCAGAAGTGTCCACACATGAGGTTTCACGGTGTCCGCAGGGAAAGAACATGGCACGGGGTTTCCGAAGCACTCCACTGGCTTGATTTCTCGTTCAACCTCCGGGCCCACCGGGCCTGGGGGCAGCAGTCATTTCTCATGGGGAGACAGGGAGCAGAGCATCACAGGGAGACGGTTTTGAGACGCGTCTCAGCCAGCGTCTCAGCCAGCTGGCTCGGTCCCGAACACAGACCCAGAGGGTTTCAGCAAGGCATCAGGGTGCGGGTGCCCACGCAAACCCTTCCGTTAGATCGCTTCTGAACCCGCTCAGCGGAACTCTGGTCCTGAGGCAGGTCCACGAACTGTTGGGAGGACCCAGTTGGCGCTTTTTTGATCTTTTTTGGCACAAGCTACAAAGCGCATCGCTACTAGGAGCAAGGACGCTATTAGTAGCTCCTGGCCATACTACTAGGAACAAGAAGCTACAGTACAGGCAGAGGGATCATCGGACGACCGATGACGGGAAGGGCATGAGTTCTGGCAGCGACTGGTGGTGATAGGTTTTATTTCACAGATTGCTCAAAGGATCTCCAAAGTGCATACAACATCGTACAACCATAACTTTCATTTCTATACTTACATATTGGTACAGGCACCGAGCACAGACTGCGCTTGAGATTTTGTTGCCTTTGAGCAAAGGTTGGTGCGTTCGAGCTTGATTTTCTCTTTAGTGGAACCCTATTTTTCACCGCGGCCCTTCATGGAGGCCTTTACTTTAGACCACCGTTCGAAGCCAGGGTTTCTTTGCTCGAACGATGGTCACCCAGCGACGGTGAACGATGGCCACCGGTCTCTTTCGGGTGCTCAACGCAACAGCCTCGGTGTGGGGGCCAGGTTGGGCGCCGGAAGCTTCAGCTTCGTCTTTCGTGCCTTGGAGGGGAGAAGAACCAGATGGACATGACTGGAGGTGGACCGGTCGAGTCGGTTTCTGGTGAAGTCTGAGCAAACACGGTTTGTGTGTGGGGGTGCATCATGAATGATTATTGGGCTCAGTGTTCTGGGAACCATGTTTGGCATCAATGTGTTTACTGATTCACTTTTCTGAAGTGGATCTAGAAGCTACATGTCAGAGCAGATCCTTGTTTTGAGGTGCTGGTTGAGGGCTTCACTGCAAGGAACATGAATGCCACAGAGGCAAAACCCAACTCTCGCAAGTTCTGAGGGCAGGACCTTCTTTGAGGTGTGTCAATGAATCTCCACATCTCATCTCCTTTCATCTCATCTAATGTTCCAGCGGGTCATAATAAGTAGAATCATTTCTCTTTATTCCGGCCATACTATTCTGCGTTTCCGCCCCATGCCCCCCTGGGCCCCATCGTTTTCGGGAGGAACATCATTGACCCAAATACCCAAGAACATTGGTTGTATTACTGGTTTCACTGGTCCCTGATGTTGGGAGGGCGGGAAGCCCCGCAGCCGGGCGCACTTGCGCTTCGCGCAGTGCGTGCATCGTTTCAGGATGCCAAGTTCATGGGATTGAAGGCCATGTGGCGGTGAAGGTCTTGAAACAGAAGGAGATGTGGCGACTGAACGACCGAACGACCGCGCCGAGAGAGATGTGGGGAGCGGACTGATCGTGTGCAGTTATAGGCTCTACGTACTCATGATCATGTGGACCAGATATGCGCAGATATCGCCTGATTTTGAAAAGGACCCCACTTAGCAGCTAGATTAGGTTTAGTAGATAGCTGAAAACATTGCTTTGTCGGTCATTGCCCTGTTTCAAGAAGCATACAAACCAGTTTGATGATGAGAATGACCTGTTGAACATGAAACTCCATCAATCAAACTGGGCAAGAAGCTACTAGGAGCAAAGGGCATCGCTACTAGGAACAAGAAGCTACTATAGGGGCTCCTGGCATCGCTACTAGGAGCATTCTTACTACTTGGAGCAAGAGGACGCTTAAGTCACCTGTTGATCCATCAAACCCCAAGGGTCACCCTCCCAAGGCATAGAAGACCACCCTGGTCAAGAAGTCCGCTTCCACACCTAAAACCGGGCAGATGGCCGTTGTAGCTGCAAAACCATCTGGGCCAGTTTCCGTGGCGTTTCGTGGCTAGTTTCCGTGTCATAGTGATGTCACTGCGTCGATGTATCTCACGGGTTGGTCGGGCCGGTCCACCGGTCACGTCATCTCGTCCCCTCCGCCCCTCCGTGGTGTGCCGCTCCGACCGAAGCGACGCCGCGCCAGTTCGGCCGCTGGGAGTGAGGATCTTTTGCCAGGGCGTGGTCGTGAATCTCAATTCATCCAAGGTGGGGTTCGGTGAGTTGACTGAAAGACACGCGTTTTTTGGCCGTTTTCCGAGGCAGGAGGTGACTAGGCTAGCTAGCGTGAAGCTAGCTGGGCACATCAGATCACTGTGGCAGGCTGAGGTTCTTGGAGCTGGAACTGGTAAGATGTACATTTTCTTTTTCACTGAACTGACCTCCTAGTGAGCTAGTATGACATGTTTCCACAAGGTCTGACTCGTATGCGGAGAGTCTGGGTGCCTTCAGGAAGCCTTAACTCCCTAGTCAGGCAGCGGTGTCTCCGGTTTGATGGGCAACACCAGTGTTCGAAGGATATGGCGAGACCCTCTTGCGACCAGAGTGAGGGACCACCGAAGGGTCCCAAGCCGATGTTCTGGTCACCTCCCGCTAGCACAGATGTGACCCTTCAGTGAAAGAACTGTACGGATGCCTGCCTGGCTGCACAAGTCTGTTTTCTTTTTGCTACCATGCCAAGTCAGTGCAATTATTCATATTCCAATTGGCGCAGCAGTTCTACTCAAGATCCTTATCATTCACAGGCCTGGAAGATCCTTATCGTCACGGCTTCGTCCCACGTCCAGCTGCCCAGACTTACGACATCCCAACTTGGTGAACGTGCTGGCCATCGTGCAAGACGAGCAACTGCCCGAAGCTTAGTGAACGAGGCCGGACATCACTGTTGTGCCACTGAAAAGTGGATTCTTCCTGCTGGAAACAGAACCTGCCCGGCCTGTTGAATGACCGGCTGTCGAACGATCGAACGACGGTTTGGAGCTGCAAGTTTCGGTGCCTCTCAGCATCGGTCGATCAGAGAAGCTCCCGGTCCTTCATCCAAGCGTCGGGTTGGACTGCTTCACAATGCTAAGACGAAGCACACAGCGTGCGCAGAGATTCTGAGCTTGTTACTTTCTGGCCAGATTTTTTGAGGCGCTTGGTGTGCTTTTCTGGCCCATCCAATCACTCAAAAGCTGTGAAACAATCAGATGTTCCACCTTCCAGATTCCAGGTGACCTTGCAAAACCCCAACGAAGCAGCAGTTCTCTCCTGCTCACCCCACGGTTTTCATGTGTTTTCCTGCTTCCGCCGAGGCACTATGTGGTCTTGGAACTGTGCACTGGTGGGAACCTGCAGGTCGAGTTCTTGGTTTTTTCCGGAGACCTCACCCACCACACCTGCTCCGACTGGGACGGACCGAGATGGACCCGAAGCGGGAAAGCATCCGGTCAGGATCGGTCAGGTCTGAAAAGGGGCCATCTTTCGTTTCGAGACTTTGGTTTCGTGTGCCACGTGTGCATTTGAAACTGGCGGCATTTTTGGAGAGCCCAAGTTCCAAGGACGGGCCGGGCTGAACGAGGTGTTGTTCGCGATGAGATCGTATGATTTAGGTCCAAGCCATCATTTATAAGCCATCTTAGATCTTGCAGTTGTCCTCTCCGTATTCAGCGAACAGAGTTGTGAGGGACATGGCTCTTTTTGAGAAAGGGGGAAAGGAAGGGTACTTATTGTAATGCTGATGGAGATATGCCAATTCGGTCAATCCAGAAAGATCAACGATATATAGCTGGCTATCCTTCCACTCGATGTGACGTTGAGCGGACAGGAGGTTCAACGTGTCGTCGTTTAGCGCTCACAATCGTATATAGCGCGCTGTGTTTATAGAAATTTGATTTGATGCTCCAAGAATGATACGTAGGGTGGCCCCTAGCACAGAAAGAAACTTCGCAGATCACCCCCACACCCGCCACGCATCAACAAGTGCAAGCATTTCGTGGCGGAGACATGTTCCCAACATGTCCATCCAGGCAGGTCTCACCAAAGGCTCTACTTCACTCACTCGGAGAGTCGCACCCGTCACTTTCTACATCCCAAAGACTCGCGCGTCGTGCCCTCCTGAACTCGGACCAACGACGTCAGCGGACTCGCCTCGTTCGCCTCGCTTTCGATCGGCTCGTTCGCGTCCGGAGCCCTGTCCCGGCCCGATGCGTCCCGGTCCGGACGCCGTGTGTCCGGAGATGTGATCTTCCGGAGAAGATCCGATGCCTAACAGCCATTCCGATGGCTTTTCAGGACGTCATTCACAAGGAGGACAGCCCATGGGAGTCCGTGCCAAGCGTTTATCGCCTGCGCGGTGGGTTGGGAAAGCCCAGTGCAAGACTTGCAAGTGGAGTTCGTTTCGATGATGTGTATGATTTTGAGAGCGGGCGAGTTTGACCTTGTTTAGATTTGATTGGAGAGGAGTCTATTAAACAAGTGCATTGACTTCTTCTCATAAGTTGAGCGGCGGCCGCCTCGTAGATCCGAGGTATGACATTTTGTTGGCCTTGGATTATATTCATCAGCAGGTGCAGCCACTTTTACTGGGGCTGCTTTCGAAATCGAATCGCTCTTGACTCTTGACTGAACTTGTTCATTTCCAAAGTCCGACCAAACATCTGGGTTTCCTGATCAAGCCTTCCCATGCTTAAAGGGGCCGGCAGTGGATCCAGCCAGAAGAGCAACTATTCTGTGGGAGTGATGCTATAGAACTACTCCACCAGAGCCCACCTGAGGTGGTCAGGTGGGGACCGAAGAAGTCAGAAGTCTGCACCGAACTGGAGGTCAAGACCAAAAGAGATTGATTGGACATGACGGAAGGACAGTCAAACTCCTTGTGTTAGCGTTTCCTTGCCGGTACCGTGTGCAGGGGCAGACGTCTAAATTGGTCAAGGCATGATTGCCAGATACATTTACCCCGTGGAAAACTGACATGGGCCTTGAAAGCCGGTTTGTAGAGGAAAACCATCTTTCCGAGTCACAGTCTTCCGGAGTGTAACATGGTCACCGAGGGCCCCTGCGTCCTGTCCCAGTTGGTGCGACATGTTGCCGCCCAAGAATCTGGAAGAAAGCCCCTGCGACGAGACACGTCTAAAATTAGACCATGCCATCCGACATGAACAAATCCACCAGCAAACAGATCTAATCCGTGCTTTTGGCGAGAAAACCGGTTCTGGGAGCTTAGTTCTGTGTGATCACCGGTGATCACCAGAACTCGGAGTTGTGGGCACCGAACGTCGAAAGCGCCAGGGAGTCCTGCACCGTGATATCAAGTCGGGGTGTGCCTGTCATGTTGGGAGAGAGAGAGTGGGGGGGGTGATCGCTCGAGGCGAACGGCGAGAAGAACGGTATAGGTGGGAGAGATCGTTTCTTCCACAACGGAGGATTTACAAGGGGTTTCCCTCACACCATGTCAGATGCCCTTCTTTGGTTTCTCTTCTCTATCCCCTGGCATGCACTTGTGCACGTCAAAAGGCTAAGCATGTTCATCTGCACTAGCGGCTCCCAGCTTCAACCCGTGAGCACATGATCCGTGTGACCTGTCCCAGGTATGGCACAAATAGAAAATGGCGGCCTTGGTCGTCTCTGGCTTCTCACTTCTCCTTCAAATGCAGTAGAGCGAAAAGAATGGCACCATCTGATTCACCGTGGTTCTTGTTGAAATCGTGCCCGGACCTTGCTCAAGCTGAGCGGTGTTTGGGGTGGCTCCAACTATCCATGCACAGTGACTGAAGCGCAGGAAGCGCTTCCGACTTCCATGGCAGGAACGCTTTCCTCCACACTCCCATCGTGGTTCGGGCCGCTGATGGGCGAGGGTTTGATGGGCGATTTTGGAGAAAACATATGTGATATAACGGACCTCATTTGGACATGAATCTGATATTGAATCATATATCGTATGAATTCGTATGATAAGACGTTATACAGTACACTGAATCCTTCATTGGTGCCATGGTCCATTGAACAGAGTGCAGTGTCAAACAGGAGTCCCGGCGCGTGATTCTGTCGGACACTCTCCCAACGAAGACCACCTATAAAATCCGATCAAATCCGATAACGAGTCACACCTGATTTGACGCATGTGACGCATGTGACGGTGCATCCTACGGATGGTGACTGGGTGAATCGGATCTGCGAGTGACGACTGGGGGATGTATCAGTGCATCGTGCGCCCCTGCACCGTCTGTGAAGCTGGGTTGATGGTCACCATCTTCGGAGAGGAAGTCATCTCTTCCAAAGTTTGGCGCTCATTTGGCGCTCGGTGGCGCATGACAGTTCTTGCGTCGAATCTGAAGTCGAATCAAACGTTGACCTTCGGCCTTTGGTGTCGATGCTCGTTTTTCATGTCTTGTCACCCGGTGGCCAATCCAACCCCCGCGTTGCGGGTGGGACGGGATGGTGCCGGGTTTGGCCAAGGAGGGCGAAGCGCTGCCCACCGTTTGGGCCTCAGGGAAACTGGCGACTGTAGACGTGGAGAGTGGTGTCGGCGTGGCCGAGCTCGGTTTGGAGGGGCTTTGACCTGAAGAGAGGTGTTTGCAAGATGCTTCTCAGATCTTCTCACTGATTCCCCAAAGACTGACACAAATTGAGCTACATCAAAAACCCTTACGCCTTACAGTATATTATAGTATATAGAGCTTTTGGTTATACGGTCGTCCTGCCTTTTGCGAAAGCTTGTGAAGGATGGAACACAAGCATGCTTGCTCACGGAAGATGCGAAAGATCATTTTGGATGACGTTCAGGCCAAGTGTTAAATATTTTTAAATACCGTAGAACTCAATTAGTCGTTTGTTGTTGGTTCGAAACCTTTCTCGCGAAAGGTACTGTACCGCGAAAGGAATATAGTAGACAACAAACTATGCCTGCAAAAGGCACAACTGTGTCCGCGAAAGGACAGTGATAGCCTTTTGCGAAAGGATTGTGCTTTTTAGGCGCCGATCGATTTCCGGCAATGCAGACATGAACCCAACTGTACCGAACTGCAGCCTATGGAAGCAAGAGCATACATGCGACCGACACCCAGTAGCTGGGGATTCTCCCCTGCACAAAGTAGTGGCTCTTTTCACCGCTTCTGATGTTCAAAAAGGGGCTACGGATTCAGCCCCTTCTAAGTCCTCAACTCCCGATGCACAAAACCTTTGTCCAATTGGAGCTGTTCCAAGGTACCGACTGAACAGACCGTTTGCAACACACACACACAATCACACACACACATGTAATATACCATAAATACGTAAGTTACGTAAGTACATATGTTAATAAAGAGATACGTAAAGCAAACATAGAGCACAGATACATTTGATCCCCCAATTTGCAGATACATCTCCTGCCCTCAGTTCCTTGCCTTTGAAGTCGCTATCCGTCTTCCATCCGCCATTTCGTCTCGCCTTCTCTTAGCCGCTTTCAGGTCAAAGTCGGCGACATGGGCTTCGCCCGGCCCTTGAGCGATTACGATGCGATGACGCAGGCGAAGAGCGAGGACTTTCACCGAGGACACGGCGATGGCAGTTTTGACTCCAAAGATCCGAGAAATACCGTTCAACGATGTTTGCAAAACTTCTGGCAGTTTCCCTGTTGGTTTATCGGAGTCTTGCGTTTTTAGCAGTTTTTGGGTTTGGGTTGTTTTCATCACTTTCACTTCAAACAACCAGCTTTCAACAGATATTTCAGGACCACCTCCACCTTGCTTGTGGGTATTGTTGGAGACTGTGATGGTGAGAGTAGTTTGTGCATTGCGCGTTGGGCAATTGGACGGCCAATCTTGAATTCTTTCTTCCATAATTTTTGCAATTGAACGCCGCATTTAACTTTTAAACATGTTTCCATCATGGTTTTGGCCACGCACGTTTTACTACTCTTTTCCCTGGCATGAGATGCATGGTGGGTGATGTGCATTTCACATTTAGCGAGCCCTAGCCGCACGGCAGCCGTGCTATGCTCAGCATGTCCTTTCTTTCGACTGCTCAGCAGCGGCTCATCACCCGACTTGGAAAGCGAAAGCTTTCGCTCGGACCGGCAGGGGGTCGGGACCTTGCGCTATATGGCACCAGAGGTTCTGAACTCGGGCTCGGAGGCTGAGGACTGAAACCGAGTCATGTCATGGCTCCTTTTCGATGGCGATGTCATGTCACGGCGCAGCTGTGTTTGGGGTTGTGGGTGGTAGGATTCATGAATAATGGAAATTCAACCCGTCCATTCCAGAGCCAACGGTTTTTAAACGCTGAACAAGGAAAAAAACAGAGTTCCCCGACAGCGCGGGTGGTATACCTTTTTTTCAAGATGTCCTGGAGGTGAACCTTTTTCAATGCAGTTATGCCGTGTCGGAGCCGGCATCTGGAGGCTTTTCCATCCCCCGACAGGTCATCAAAACCATTGTTGCACTTTTTCCATCGACTTATAGTCCTCCATGGCTCTTCAACTTTTGAAGATCTTGCACTCGGAGAGACACCTCCTTAGACACCTTAGAATTCACCTCATTCAGCGTCACAAGAGGTTTTCCACCTTCCAGTATCTGCCACCATGCTCAGGTGAGTACAATGTGACGGCAGACATGTTCTCCTTCAGTATTTTGCTGCATGAGCTAATGTCAGGACAGGGACCTGCCGATCTGGCACCGCCTTGTATTTCGGGCTCTACATCCAGCCTTGTATGTGATAGATAAAACCGGCGCGATGCGATCTTGAGCATCGACTACTATTTGCTGATGCAATTCGTAGGACTTATACATACGGACTATGTATCCCAGGTCGCATGGACATTCGGGTCGCTTCGCGATGACAACCGCCCGCACCAGGGTTTCTCAGAGAGACGGCAAAAGAAGTCTCTATAATCACCTTATTTTTGGACCCTTTGATACACTGTTTAGTTATGTCTTACTTGCAATTTGCAAGTATTGTTGAAATTGTACATTTTCAAGGGGTCGAAACATAGAGTGATTGTGCACAATAAACTATACATGACCGAGACAAGACTGATAGATGAACGCAGCATGAAGTGGATTAATAAAAGAAGTATGTGTATATATATATAAAATCACTCTATTTTGGGACCCTCTTACAAACTGCCTAATTATGTCTGACTTACAACTTGCAAGTATCATTGGATATGTTTTTTCGACCCCATTGAAGTTGTACATTCTCAGGGCCCAGAATATATCCAACAATGCCTGCACATGAGTACAACTTGGACCCCCTGAAAAACGTCCAATGTCAAGGGGGTCGAATGATAGAGTGAATATATCCAATAAGCTATACAATGTGCATGGTCGACACAAGACTTAGAGACGAACGCAGCATGAAGTGGATGAGCACAATATATGAAGTCTCTATGATCACTCCTTTTTTGGGACCCTGTTGCGAATTGTTTAGCTATGTCCTTCTCACAAATCGCAAGCATTGCTGGATCTAGTTTTTGACCCCTTTGAAATTGTACATTTTTCAGGGTGTCCCACTTGTATTAACTCGCAGGCATTTTGTGCAATAGATTATCCAGTTGCAACCAGTTGATGCGTATGATGCCATAAAAAACTATACATTTGTAACCAGCTGATGCATATGACGCAATCATGAAACATATAAATAAAAAACACACAAATGTTGAGAGGACTCGTTTGTTTGCCTTTCATGGACCTGGTGGTGCAAATGATACGATAATGGAACATATAGTCAGGCATACATGATATGTGAAAACCATGTGTTTCTTTTTTTTCAGTGCTTTCTCCCATTCCATTCCTCTCCAAGACACACATCTTAATGCAGGCTATGCATTTTCGTTCCCAAACGAACATAGGCCGCCCCCTAGCTAAAACTCTATATAGCGATGGCTGAAGGGGTACTTTCTTTGACCTTCTTGTTAGGGTTTCAGAGTAGAGGTTGGAGGCCATCGCTAGTAGGTTGGAGGCCATTACAATTAGGTTGCAAGCCATTGGAGGCCATTCTTTGCTCCCATCCGAACCACCGAAAAACCCCGGTGACGTGGGGCTTCGTCTTGGCGAGGAAATATTCCCTTCCAAAGCCGCAATGAAGCATCCCTTTGCCTGGCCATTTTGGGTGGCCTCTCCGGTAGCACTCAGATGTTTTTTTTTTGCTGCCCCGCGGGCACTTTCTTTTCTCTCTCATCCTGTGATTTGCAAAAAGGGTTCAGACTTTTTGGAAGCCTTCTCAGTATTGGCGCCCTCCACCTGTGGGCAACCCTGGTACTGTACACTAGCAATAGGGGTAGTTGAGAGAGCATGTGTTTAGGATTGTTGATCCTCGAAGCGTCTCTTCGATGAAATCCAAAAAAAAGACAAACAACTCCCAGTAAACCCAAAAAGACCTGCTTGCATCACATGGAAAACCCAGCAAACCCCTTTTGCTTCCAAACTCAAGAGTGTCACACTGAGGACACCGTCCACCCTATGAAGAGCTCTTTGTCGACACGAGCCTCAGCCGGGCACCACACCTTCGGGAAGACACCCGGAACGAAACAAACGGAACGGAGGTGGAACGACCGTGAGGAGTTCCAAAGGTCGGACGTTACTTCCTTCATGGCTCGCTACTTGGTAGAAGTATGTCAAACCAATTACAAGACTAAGAGACATGCACGCTTCGATAGCTTGCGACTTGTTTGTTATGTTCATATTCATGTTTGTGTAAATTATTCGAAAGCCAGCCGATCGGCTAGGCTGGAGTGCTTGATGGGCGAACAAAGTGAGTATTACGGGGTGTGGGGGGGGTGAGTTGGGAGACTGGACCATGCTTATAAAGCCTTGGTGATGCGAGTTGCTCAAATGTTTGAATACTGCGTCATTAGCATCACAAAATGGCCAGGCAGTCGGTCTAGTTGTGTGTATGCTTCAGCAAACATGGACGGGGGCTGTAAAGATAGCAACCTGCAAGCAGGCACCGCTGTAAAGACCACTGCGCCGCCGTTGGTCTAAGAGGTGGTTTGCCATGGGCAAACAGAAGGCAGAGATACGCAAGCTTTCACATTGAGTTCGGTATGATATAGGGCTCTTTGTATGCCTTTACACAAAGCCTTTACTAACCTTCAGCCACGGTTGCTGGTCATAGGATAGAACCAAAAAAAATATATATATCATATGTATGAGTTGGCGAGTATGGCTGCTGGGTCGGGGACTGCCCATTTCGTTGTGCCCCAGGCTCTTGTACAAACAGAGAGTCTCACTTCCAACCTTGGACATTCACCGTTCTATTGGGTGCCCTTCTTTTCGGTTTTGGAACCTTTTCACGCTAAAAAAGGGCACCCCCCCACATGACTTCTTAGACTGTGGTAACTCGCGGTAGTCTAGGAAAACCTAGCTGAATGACCAACCGCTATTTCACTCGTCCTTTGCTTTGACCTATTTCGTTGATTTGTGGTTTTCGGGAAGACAAAAGGGGCACCAGCAAAGCAGTTGTATCTTCTAGGATCTAGCTAGGTCTCCCCAAGTAGCTGTAAACAATACTGTACGTTAAAAGACTATGTTTGCGGTCTGTTTGAAGGGCATGTGTGGTCCAGTGGTGGTGCCCTTTTGATCGTTTTGTCACGGCTTTGGTGAAGAAAAACGGCACCAACAAAGGAGTGCTCTCTCTTGGGCAAGCAGCTGCAAAGAAAATACGTTGAAAAAATATGTTCGCGGTGGTCTGCTTGAAGGGCTGGCTTTCGTCCCCTCCTTTCTCAGGTTTTGTCTGCTTCAAGCTGGGAAAGGGTTGGAAGCTTTGACCCGGACACCTCTGACAGTCTTCTTGTTTTTGATGCAAGGAATCCACGTGGTACATTCCAGGAACCTCGGAGAAACAACGTAAGTGTCCTGCTTTCGCCTTACCTTCTCAGGTGAAGAGCAGATTGGAGTGGTCTGGGCCCTCATGGAGGCTTGGGCAGCGAGCCGAGATCGTTCCTGGCCGCGATGGGGAAATGCCGGAAACGCATCCCTCGCCATAGTTCAATTAGAAACTACAAGTAGTTCCTGGCATTACGACTAGTAGCTAGAAACTACTTAGTAGCTAAGGGCATCGCTACTAGTAGTTTCTTGTTATTAATCGTGCCTAAAGCAAGGCACAGCAAACCGGAGATCGGGAGCCAAGCGAACTCCTGACGAACTCGGTCAAGATGGGTGTCCTGAAACGAACCGATGGACCTGGGTGCTGTGTCTCCACGGTAAAGCTTCGTGCGCAGAACACTCCGGGGGGCCACCCTTGGTGTTTAACGTTGAAAACACCTCACGGTTGAAGAACCCGCAGAATAAAACAGTTGAGATGTTGAGTAACTTGATGATGGTCCATGAAGTCTGCCGTGTTTCCAGCAGTTTGAGTCACTTAGATGCCGACCATTATGGAATGTTTCAGGCGGTGGCAGGATTTTTGAATTTGGGTACGTACCCATGATGCTGGATGAACGACGATGTTCAAGAGGGAGTGCAAGAGGGGTAGGATCCCTGTGTCGGGCCATGCAGTCGCCCTTCAACTTCTTCAGTCGCACGGATACTTGAGTCACCCCGTGGGTGAAATGGCCTGATGCTCCGGCATAGCTGCACACCCACGTGAGGCTTGTTGGCAAGAAGATGCTGATGAGAGGACACTGGGAGCTTTCGGAGACGTGGGGATTGTCATGTCACAACGTTTCCCTAGAAATCCCTAGAATGCCATAGAGAGGACCAAAGAGGTCAGTCAGTTGTACTCAACTGCCTCTTTTTAACTGGGTGCCTGTGCTGGTTCAGAGTGGTGCAACTAAGACAAGTGAACCTGCAGGTGTTAGTAATGTGTTTCCATCCATTGGGGGTAGTTTGAGGGGGACCCTATTTTTGAGCCATGGCCTGTTCGCATGAGTTGGCGGGGTTGGGGGGGTTGCAGGTGCCGACACTGTCATAATTTGACTTTCATAGGCCAGCACAGGGCAGAGCCTCAGAGATCTAGGCGGGGCCACATCCAGCTTGGCTCAACCTTCCCATTGTCTCATCGCCCAGTCGCATTCCACTGGGTCGCCGCGCTGGAGGCCTTCTGCGGCGGAAGCGGCAGAAAGGATTTACGGCCTGATTTCCTGAAGAAGCACCACCGGCGTCCGAATGAACACCCTTCGCTGTTTGTGCGAATGCCAGACCAGTTTCTTACCTCAGCCTTTCAGCTTTGAAAGCCAGGGTTCGCACCGAAATGCTCAGGTGGTTGCAACATGTTACAACTCCCAGGGCCCAGGTCTTCAGCCCAGGTCGCCATTTCGTTGGACATGTGGACTGGTCCGCTACCCTCTATCCAAGAGGCTCCAGGTTGACGGAAAGGTCCGGAAAGCAAGTGAGCCACAACAAGCCACGGGCAAAAATCACTAGCTATGGATGGTTTAATGTAGTACTCTTGATTAATAGCCCCCCCACGAAGCTGACCAAAGGACGGGTGGGGGAGGCAGGGCACTTTTCTTGGCTTTGTTCCTAGTAAGGCCAGGAGCCCCTAGTAGCGCTTTGTTCCTAGTGTCCTCTTGTTCCTAGTGAATGGCCTCAGAGCCACTCCAGAAGCAACTTATTACTTATTACTCTTTTGCCAGTCAGCCTCCTAACATATACAGGCCCACGCTTCCAGCACGTTCGGACATGGCAGATGAATGTCATGCCCAGCTAACTGCGGGTGGGCATACCATCCATGCTGGCACATGCCTGCCATTCACACCAGTTTGGCGCTTTCTTTGGAACATGCTAAACTACATCATTGTGAACTGCTTGGTGTCAAAATCCATAAACCTAAGTGCTTTGACCGCATGGTCTAAGTGCCTGGAGCACTCATGCTTACCTTCGGTGTCCTACGGTGCATTGTTCGAATCTTTTTGAAGCTGTACTCCCAGATATCGGATCACGAACAAACAAACAACTTCAAGAACGAACAGATTCTGTCGAAGAAAGGCTGGTTTTCGTCTTGTAACTGCAAAGAACACCATGCAAGATGGCGCACAAACAGGTTGGGCAGACGCCTTTCCTTTTTCAAAATACATTTATGAGAGAGTCCCTTTCCGGTGGCCCTGTCGATGTTGACCAAAGCTGAAAAAAACACACCCCCAGACTGAACAGACCTAAACTTGTCTGAGTCTTCCAAATAGCTACATTTCAGCCCTTTTCAATGCATTTCTTTGTTTTTCAAGAAAGCCCTTGCAATATCCTGTCTTTGGCTCCACCAAGCCAAGCAGGGCCCACCATCCAAGTCAATCGAATACCTCAGCTGGTCGGTGGATGGCATCGCCGATCCCCGCCTTCCAAGCGCTCGCACAGCAGCATCGTCCAGGTCAAAAGTCCGACAATGGAACCGAGAAATGGTCGACTTGAGCCCTCAGTTGAGATATCTTGAGTTTTTGGAGGTCCTGGAAAGGGCCAATGACCAGGTCTTCGGCTTTTGGTTGCTGGAGGAAGTCCCTACCTGTATACCCGAGAAGCTGCCAGCCGAATGAAGAGCCTGGGAGAAGCCAGAAACTGAAAGCAGATGGGAGCTTATATGGTTGTGAATTATATATTAATTATATCACATGTGAATACATGTGAAGGATCTGGCTCAATGCATCAACTTTCACATCCAACAGACGAACAAGAACAACCATAAATTAAATGTTACATTTCTGAGAAGTCCCCGTAGAAGTTGACTACAACCGCCCACGTGCCTTGTACCACTCCTGACACGAAGTCAAAAGACTCAGGCCCAACAGATCGACGCATCAAAAACCGACACGTTGCCCAGCCTTCTTTAAAAAAAAACGCACGTTTCTGTCCTTCTGAAGCAGCACAGAAGCTGAACTGATCTACAACATGTTATAACATGCTTGAACAATCTACAGCCCCTAGAGGCTTGCCAACGATCCCATAGTCATACCGTCCCACACAGAAGGTTGACTCATGCCATACCCATACTCGCACCAAACCGAAGCTTCCGGTTTCGAAACACCTTCCGCTCACAAACGCCCGCTACATCAACACCCCTATATCAAGCCGCGCCAAAGATCTTGGGCGGATCGCAGCTGAAATGGAACGCCTGGATTTGGATCCTGACAAGCCAAAGTTCCTCTTGTTGAATCCCATCGAAGAGCCCGCGTGGATGCTCAGCACAACATCGCTGCTTGAAATCTGGGAGATGTTCTGAATTTGTTGAATGATGATTCTGATGTCATTCAGCCTCACCAGAACGGCTTTGTCTAGCTTTTACACATTCAGAGTTTGGGAGCGAATCAAAGCATCATTGGGTCGCTAGTTGGGTTGGGTTCTTACTATACCACCATCCTGTCTGGGTGGGGTAGTCCAGCCACAACACCCAGACAGGATTCCAGGATGCTGGTACTTAGATACACATCATACATACATCATTCATATGATTCATATGACAAGTAACAAGAAGCTAGTAGTAACAAGTGCATCGCTTCTAGTAACAAGTGCCTTACTAGTAACAAGAAGCTATTATTATATTTTTAATGTTTAATAATAATAGCTTTTTGTTACTATTAGTAAGGCACTTGTTACTACTAGCGTGGCACTTGTTTCAGAATGCTTCGTTCGATCCAACGCACCGAGGCGGAGAAGGCCCGCAGCGATGCGAAGAAGCCGCGGATTGGACCACTGGAGGAACGGTTCGGAAGAACGACCGATGTCTGGAAGTGGAAACGGAAGGTCAGACTTTTGGGTCAGACTCGGGTCACTTCTATTTGTCCAGGTGTGGACAACCACTCCACAAAGCCGATGTTAGTGAGTCGGAGGCTACTGGGTGACTTGGGGATGAACATGGGATTGGACATTGGGACAGTGGGTTGGAAACAGCACTTACCAAATTGGTTCACCAAAAGTTATGTCATGCTTGGGGAATCCTGCCTTTGGAGCCATGCCCAAGGGCCGTGAGCCCAACAGACACAGGCATCAAGTGTTGACCCACTTCCATTGCACCACGAGGGGCACGACGAGCCGCGTGCGCCAAAGCACCTTTCCCAAACTTACTGTGGGTTGGCAGTGTTCTCGCTGTTTTGGGTTTGTTCATGCCGGTTCTTGTGAGGGAGTCGCAGGTGGTGCGGACTTACTACTGTATATTATATATATATGTACAGTCACTATCTTAATTGCTACGTTTTCTAGGATGGTTGCCTTAGTATCCAAGCTTCTTCTGTGCATCGCTGACTGACACCTTTCCAGCTTGCCAAGAACAAACCTCGTGCTCTTCATGGCATGCGCGCACCTGACGAGCGTGCCTGTCCTGTCTATACTAATGGATTTGAAGAAAAAACCAAATCGGAACAGGAAAAAGCAGTCTATGCATCGTCTACCACGATTTCTTTCCCCTTGATGCAATCCCTTCATTCCGACCACATCCTTCATAGTGGCTGGCCTGGCCAATACAATGGGACAGTCTTGGCTCTTGGCATGTCGATGGAGAGCCATTGCCGTGAGGTGACAGCCTGGCTGTCTCCATGATCACATGGCACAGTGCTCACACGATCCCTTTCTGGCGCGAGGCAGCATGCACAAGGCAATTCCCATGGCTTTCATATATGACATGTTCTGACCATCATATTAGTCATCCACTTCTTGCGGCCCGTTAAGCTAAAGAACCACTTCCTTCATGGACCCCCTCTTAGAGCACAGAGGAGCCCACTTGCGGCCCGTTTCCGTCGAGGATCCCACCACCCGAAGTTACTAAGGTATCTCTAAGGACCCGTCATACGTACGTACGGTATTTGGAACATCTTGGACTCTGGATGAGTTGACTTGGAGTCTAGGGTGGGGAGTCTGCAGCCGATAGGAGAGCCATGCCCTCTCCTCGGTCCGCGCCTTCCTCGCGCAGAACGCGGTCGACTGCGGGGCCAGCAGGGCCAGCGGCCCGTCATGCGATCCGGAGATCGTGGCCGTGCCTGATGTGCCGGTGGGGTGAGGGAACTGGGGAAGCGATCAACGAGATGGTGAGGGCTGAGGGCTTAGGCGAACACAGTTTGAGCAGGTGTAGGTTCATGTAGGTTCACTTTTCAGTCAGGATGAGGTAGTCAGGTAGTTGGAGGGTCAGGGCCTACTCCCATGCCAGGAAGTGTTGATTCCTCCGGCGAACTCTGGCTCGGATGATGAGGAAGAGGAGGTGAGGAGCTTGCGAGGGCCATGCTTAGTAGGGACCTGTTCGGGACTTGTTAGGGATGTGATGTCAGTCCACCAGCTGCAAAACTGTAGGAGGTGAAGGAGGACTTGGCGGTCCAGATGGACGTCGGCCTCGGAGTGTCTGGGATCTTAGAAGCATGTTTGAGCTGAGTGTGTTGTTCGCAGAGATGTGGCTGGTGCTATAAAAAGGGCCCAAGAACAAGTTAAAAACTATACGTATATCCTACTAAAATATCTAATTACATAATGAGAAGCAGCAACCTATAAACTCGCCCAGCGCCGTCGGTGCCGAAAACCACTTCGAGGATGGAGGTGCTGGGCTCGACAGCGCCGCTGGAGCAGCGCGGTGTCCCTGAAGCACATGGTCATCTCCAGGAGCAGAGTAAGCTGAGTTGGATGTGTGAAGGATGGTGTTTTTCATGTGAAGGATGGAGTCTGGAGGACTGAACATGTTTGGAGGACTTCAATGTTTTCCTTTTTCCCGAATGCGTAGCGAAGGGTTCCCGTTTATAGTTGGGGGTCTGGGGGTTGGAGCTATGTTTGCATGGCTTGCGTCGTCTCGTCGTCTGTCGTCGTTTGTCGTCGTCTGTCGTCGTTTGTCGTCGTTTGTCGTCGTCGTTGCGTCTCAAATTCGCTGCCATTGGGGGAAGCTTTTGCAAGTGACTTTGCAATGATGTGTCACGTGTCAGTTTGCGCCGCTATTCCATTGTGATTTGCATGACAATGACATGTCGCGCAAGAAACGTGATGCATTTCGCTGCACAGGCGCAGCGTTTTGTGAGATCCGCAGATTGCTGCGCAGTTCCATTGGGATTAGCGTTTGGAGAGTCGTGTTTTTGGGGTGTTGGATGTGGCCGTGCCATTGGGATTTGCGTTTCAGGGTGTGGCATCGAAGCTCGGTTTTCGTGACAAGTCTCAGCGGAAATGGCGATTTTTGTGGATGGGAGTGTGCTCAGAACGGGTCGAAAATCATTCCAAACATGTGGTGTGGTGCAAATTTTGTTGAAGCTCACATGAGATGATATTGTCACTTTTCGTGGCAGGCGCAGGACTTTGTGCGGGCTTTGAGGCGTGGAAGTGCGATTCTCGTGGCAGGCGCAGGGAATCGTGAGGTTGCGAGGCGTGACGGAGGTGACATTTCGTGAAAGGTGCAGTACTTTGTGCGCGTTGGACGTGTGGACGCGGAAAGATTCATGGCAGGCGCAGGGAATCGTGAGGTTGTGAGCTGTGGTAATTAGAGGTGAATGTCGCTGTCACATTGGGATTGGCGTGTGCTTGGCAGGGCTGCGTGATGTGTGTGTGCTCCGATGGGTGTTTCCGCTTGACTTTTGGAGGAAGTCTCGTACGAAACGCTCGTTTTGCAGACTTTGACGTGTGAGTTTTTGAGGAAGTCTCGAACGAAACGCTCGTTTTGGAGACTTGACGCGCAACCCTCTGCGGAGATCGTGCGTGTCGAGTGTGCGAAATGCAGGCGAGAGTGCGATCTGTCCCATGCGCGCGCAACCCTCTGCGGAGATCGTGCGTGTCGAGTGCGCGAAATGCAGGCGAGAGTGCGATTTGTCCGGTGCCCGCACCACCCTCTGCGGAGATCGTGCGTGTCGAGTGCGCGAAATGCAGGCGAGAGTGCAATTTGTCCGGCGCCGGAAGCTGAGAACTGGCGACTTTGTAGTACAACTTTCGTACGCGAAGCAATCTATGGAGGTGGAAGGTGAGAACTGGCGACCTTGTAGTACAACTTTAGGTGGGAGCTGGAAGAATGTCCCACAAGAGTGTCCCGCAACAGTGTTCCACTAGAGTGTCTCACAAGAGTGCCCCTTAAGAGTGTCCTACAGGAGTATCCCACAAGAGTGTCCTACAAGAGTGTCCCACAAGAGTGTCCCAAAAGAGTGTCCCACAAGAGTGTCCTACAAGACTGTCCCACAAGAGTGTCCCACAAGAGTGTCCCACAAGAGTGTCCCACAGAGTGTCCCACAAGAGTGTCCTACAAGAGCGTCCCACAAGAGTTTCCTACAAGAGTGACCCACAAGAGTGTCCTACAAGAGTGTCCTACAAGAGTGTCCCACAAGAGTGTCCCACAAGAGTGTCCTATAAGAGTGTCCCACAAGAGTGTCCCACAAGAGTGTCCCTTAATAGTGTCCGACAAGAGTATCCCACAAGAGTGTCCTACAAGAGTGTCCCACAAGAGTGTCCTACAAGAGTGTCCCACAAGAGTTTCCTGAAAGAGTGTCCCAGAAGAGTGTCCCGCAAGTGACCCACGAGAGTGTCCCATAAGAGTGTCTCACAAGAGTGTCCCACAAGAGTGTCCTACAAGAGTGTCCCACAAGAGTGTCCTACAAGAGTGTCCCACAAGAGTGTTCCACAAGAGTGTCCTAAAAGAGTGTCCCACAAGAGTGTCCTACAAGAGTGTCCCACAAGAGTGTCCTACAAGAGTGACCCACAAGAGTGTCCTACAAGAGTGTCCTACAAGAGTGTCCC